TCTTAATTCGTCAAACCTCACACACACATATACCCTCCGTTCTCATGGCAAAGAAAGAAAGAAGAAATAATAATACGCTACCAAACATATAGCGACAGTTACTGGAGAGGAAGTAAAATACCAGGCGTTCTCTTTGGCCTTTTCTTTTTTCCCATCTTTCCAGTTTTTTTTTCTTGTTTTTGCGGCTCTGCAAAAGTAATATCACCGCTTACTGGCCTTGTTGCTGTTCATCTTGGCACTGGATGAAATAGTCCCACGCCCATTTGCAGTTTTCCGGGTGCTCCGCATTTGCTTCAAGGCACTTGGAGTACGACTTAATTTGTGGAGCGCAGGCACCATCGCCGACTCGTTGTGCCATTTCCTGCGCCTGCGCCGGCTGCGTGGGTGGCTGCTCACGATTAAAGAGCATGTTGGAAATACCATGACCGAGGACGGACCCCGCAGCGACCGAGGCCATGGTGCCAAGGATACCCGTACCACCGCCACCGCGTTGCAAATAGACATTTGTCACTTGCGGCTGCTGCTGCGGGGTTGAGGCCGTCTGGTGTGTGTGGTGCTGCTGTTGGTTGTGTGACGGAGAGGTGGGGCGGGCCGGCGGAGGCGCAGCAGACGTGCGGGAATGAGAAGGAGGGGCACGACGTGTACGAGCCATTGGATGCCTTGTGGTTTATTTTACTTTGTGCTTTTTTGGTGCTTATACGCTTTTTGCTTGCGATTCAACCTTCCTTTTTTCAGTGGTGTTTTCCCATAAATCCCATAAAAAAAGGCCGCCGAGAAAAATAATATATTTATATAGACACATAAAGCAAGCAAAGAGAGAGGAATCACGTTTCAAACAGAATGTTGATGTGGAGCCGCATTCCTCCTGTAATATATATATATATATTGGTTCTCTTTACTATTCTTTTTATTGGCCCTCGTAACGCCCATTGCGCTCAGAAGGCAACTGCCAAAGATCATATTTTTTTCCGTTTCTGCCCGATGGTATTGCAAGAATAAAACACACGCACACACGGAGACACATACACACACGCACCTACGGGGGGGGGAGTTTCCTCAAAATAAATAAAAAAAACCGGTGGGAGGATCGAGAATGTGAGAGACAACGGTATCTGCTTAAGGGCCCAGCACAAGTGACAATTAGTCGTGCTGCCATCCGCCCACCCATCTCCATTCTTTTCTTCTTCTGTTGTTGTTTTTTTTTTTTTTCTCTGTTTCCCACTTCAATGCACGCAACATCCTCTGCATCTCCTTCACCCGACCCCACCCCCCATGTCCCATTTCCTCTTTTTTTTTTTTTCTCCCCGTTTTTCTCTTCTTTTGGTTTTGTTTTTTTGTGTGTTTTTCTTTTCTTTTTTCGTTTCATCCATAATGTCCTCATTCACCTTTTCGTTTTTTGTTGTGTTTTTTTTTGTTTGTTTGTTTGAAATTTTGACCCTCTCCCTTTTCCTCTCTCTCTCTCTCTTCCCCCCTTCCCTCCCCGCCAACTGTCACGCCTGTGGGGAAGCGTATTTTTGTGTCCATTCTCGCGCCGTCCGCATTGCGGCAACCTCATCTCGTTTCCAACTTTCTGCTACTTCATTGTCTAGCGGATCATCCGGGTTTGGGCTTGCCATGAGGAGTTGTATGCTCAGAAGCACCTTAATGATCTGTAGCGCTGGCGACCACTTGTCTTTAATGATGTCAAGGCAAATACGACCCAGTTTATCCACATTCGGGTGGTAGATGCGGGTGAGAAACCGCACCTTGGGCGGTACCATCGGGTATTCCTCAGGAAGAAAGAGCTCAAGGTGGAAGATGCCACCCTCGTAGCTGCTCTGCGGTGGGCCACGTATCTTTACATGGAAGTAACGCGGGTTGCTGGGTGACGGCCTGGCTTCGATGCCCTCTTGGTGCTCCCGCTGCAACTTCTCCGTCTCCTTGATGATTCGCGTTGTGAGCGCCATTTCTTTGGCGTGTTTTTCTGTGCGTGTGGACGAGTGTTGAGTTGTTGGGTGCTGCGTTGCAAGGAAAAATAAATAAGGAAAAAAAAAAAAAAAGAGCATGGCAGCAAAGAATCACAAGAAATACCGTGAAGGGGAAAAAAGGACAGTCGCACACACACACAGAGAGAGAGAGAGAGACCGAGACGCATGCCGACTCATAGTTCCATGCACTTATTCTTAGGTTACTTCTTTCCCTCTACCCCTCTCCCCCCTCCTCTTTTTTTTTTTGTGTGTGTGTGTGCGTGTTTTTTTTTTTTCTTCTGCCACGACAACAACGCGCAGCAACACGACCGGATTTTTTAGATTTATTCGCCGAACCCGCACCCTGCCACCAGTTACTTTTTCATTCCCTCCTTCTCTTTTCCCACCTTATGATGTGTGTTGTTGGCACGGAGAGAAATAAAAGATGGAGTGCAGGCTCATGGTTTTACGTGTGTGACGTTGCATCAGAAACAAGCAAGCGACTCCGTAAAGAAGACACACACACACACACACACACACATACGTATATATATGCGCTCATAGTTGTGAGATAAATGCCCGTGCGTGGCATCACAAGAGACACCGCTGCAGGCTTAT